GTGGTCTTGACCGCCTTGTTTTCCCCCAGCCATTATTGAAAAGAAGACCAACGACCTGCTGCTGTTGGAGTCCTTCCGGCGGTTCCTGGATATGGAAGAGGCCGACACCGAGACCCTGCCGACCTTCCACAACCCTTTCTGGGACAGCTCTGCCCTCTTCAAGATTGCAGAACCCATGAAGGTCAGCCCCCCAGTGCTCAGGGCTGACCCCTTCAGTGACAGGCTGGATGAAGGTGAGTTCTCTTTCTACCCAGATCTGCCCAAGTCGCTGGGTCAAGGCTCCTTGGAAGTCTGCAGTCAGGAGAGTCTGCAGTGTTGAGCCTCAGTTTCCCCCTTTTTATGAGCCCATCGCTTTCATCCGGTACCTTCTTGGCTGTGGCCACTTGACATGGTTCCCTTAGGGATGCTTCTCCCTGTGGCCCGATGGCCTCACCGCAGATCCTGACGTTTAGTTATCCTGGATATATTTTAAAATCACAACTGTTTTATGACCATTTAAAATGAATCTTAAGCCCTGGCTGGTTTGGCTCAGTGGCTAGAGCAGCCGTGGGCAAACTACGGCCCGCAGGCCGGATCCGGCCCATTTGAAATGAATAAAACTAAAAAAAAAAAAAAAGACCGTACCCTTTTATGTAATGATGTTTACTTTGAATTTATATTAGTTCACACAAACACTCCATCCATGCTTTTGTTCAGGCCCTCCGGTCCAGTTTAAGAACCCATTGTGGCCCTAGAGTCAAAAAGTTTGCCCACCCCTGGGCTAGAGTGTCAGCCTGCAGACTGAATGGTCCCAGATTCAATTCCAGTCAAGGGCTCGATCCCCAGTAGGGGACGTGCAGGAAGCAGCCAATCAATGATTCTCTCTCACCATTGACGCTCCTATCTCTCCCTCTCTGAAATCGACAAAAATACATTTAATAAAATAAAATGAATCTTAAGATATCCAAAATTTCCAAATTGGCAGATTAGGGGCTCACAAGATCTCATCTCTCACCCTCACCCTGTGCTCTTGAGTCTCACTCCATAACCCACGACCTCCCTTGGTCCCTCCCCATCCAGAAGCCTTCCATTTACCTTCCTTCCTTTCAGAGTTCATGATGCTCCCCTTCATGGCAAGGGGGGTGAGGAACCAGCCCTTCTCCCTGAATCTGGGGAGGGGAGGGCAGTTTGGCAGCATGTATGGGAAGCCTGAGAAGTGGATACACCCCTTAAGCCTGTAATCTCACCTGTGGGAATTGGTCATCCAGGAAAAACGTATTCGGGGGTCTAAGATGAAGGTGGTAGGATATTCACTGCAGCCCCAAACTGGAAATGACTGAAATTCCCACTCATTAGAGATTGGCTAAAGAAGTTACCATTCATTCCACATACAATGGGCTACCACACAGCCACTAAAAAGAATGTGATGGTATATAATATATCTATATATTCAGTGGTTCTCAACGGGGGGGGGGGGGGGGGGGAGGTGATTTACTCCTCAGGGGACTTTTGGCAATGTCCAGAGATACTTTTGGTTGTCACAACTTGGAGGAGGGGATACTACTGGCATCAGGGGCCAGGGATGCTGCTAAAATCCAACAATCGTACAATGCACTGGACAGGCCTTCATAATCCTGATATATATGATGAGAGAGAGAGAGAAGAATAAGAATAAGAGAATAAGAATAAGAATAAGAATAAGAATAAGAATAAGGCCGAAACCGGTTTGGCTCAGTGGATAGAGCGTCGGCCTGTGGACTGAAAGGTCCCAGGTTCGATTCCGGTCAAGGGCATGTACCTGGGTTGCGGGCATATCCCCAGTAGGAGATGTGCAGGAGGCAGCTGATCGATGTTTCTCTCTCATCGATGTTTCTAATTCTCTATCTCTCTCCCTTCCTCTCTGTAAAAAATCAATAAAATATATTTTTTAAAAAAAGAATAAGAATAGGAAGAAGGAAGAAGAGGAAGATGAGGAGGAGGAGGAGGGAGGGAAGTTGAGAGGGAGGGAAAGAGGGCAACACCTTGATTATGCACTTGAGAACAAAGAGAATGTAGAGGCAACTTATGGCAGATATTTCTGGGTGGTAGTTTGCAGAGAACTTTACATTTCTGAGTTAAACATTTCTGTATTGTTTAAGTGTTGTTTTTTTTTGGAAATTTTTGTGTGTTGTTTTTTTTTTACAAAGACCTGTGTTACTTTAGTAATCAGAGAAAAAAGTAGATTTTGAAAATGCTGCTCCTCCTCTCTGAGCAGCATTTCAAGTGTGCAGGTATGCCAGGGACGGATGGAAAGACCTGCCAACACGCATGCGCACGTGTGGGCACGCCTTCTGTTCGATTTAGCCGAGGCAACCGAAACTTAGCAGGAGTGAAAGCTGGGTCTGGTGTCAGCCGCCTTAGGACAGCTTCCCTTGGCCCTTTGAATTCCTGAAAGAGGTGGTTTGTGGGCATAGATGGCAAGGTCAGGTGTCTGCTCCTGTGTTCAAGGGAATGCTGATAAATATTGGCTTCTCTTAGCTCACTCACCTCTGTGGCTCACATGTGTGAATTAAAAGAGGCACCCCCTCTGGGCACATTAATTAGAAAAAGGTGCCCTTTTTGGGTACATGTGGTTTGGCAATCTAGTAGGGGCTGGATTTCAGCCCATTCATTCATCATTCATTCATTCATTCGTCTCCACCTGGCATCCTTGTGCTGTCTACCTCCTGGACAACGGCACAGGGGTGGCCCTGTCTCCTTGAGATTAAACCAAACTCACCTGGGAGAAAACAGCAGTTACTGTCCGGGCATCCCTGAGCAGTACATCCCTGCCTATCCTCTTCCTCCCTGAACCTCAAGAATGGTCATACTCCAACCCCAGCATTGTGGGGGAACCCAAAAAAGGCTTGGACATTCTTGCCTTGGGCACCCACGAATGGGGCAGAGAGGCACTGTCCCTGGGAGGGAGGTGTGCTGGGTTCGACTTTCAAACTCTTCATCCGAGTCTCACTTCTGGCGCAGTGGACCAGCCCCTGGACCACGACAGCCTTCGGCAGATGGTGCTCAGCAACAACATCGCGAGGGACTCTCGATATAAGGATTTACAGCTCGACAGCATTCCTGAAAAGGGGGACGACCTGAAGCCCAAGAAGAAGGTAGTCAGCATCTGACATGGGTGGGGCCGCATTTGTACCGTAACCCGAGAGAATAAATGTTTTGTTCTGTAACCCCACTGCCCCTTCATACTCACTGCTAGGAGACTAGGGCGCTGGGAGCACCCGGGAACAGGGTAGAGGAGCAGGAGGGGTTGAGGTCTAAAGCCCGCACAGGATCCAAGAGCTGTGTGAGGCCACCATGGCCCCTGAGAACCTGAGATTGTGGTCAGCACAGGTCCCCCTTGTCATGTCAACTCGGTGAAGCAGGGACGAGTAAAGTGTAGGGGCCAGTGGGGAAGCCAAAATATTGATCTTCACGTCGCAGAATCACATGGGGGTGCAGCAGCCATTCACAGGCAGGAACTGCAAGCCACATAACTTCTGTGTCTCTCTCCCTGCCCTCCTCTTTCTGTGTGTGTGTGTGTGTGTGTGTGTGTGTGTGTGTGTGTGTGTGTGTGTTGGGTGAACGTATTACTGCAGAGCTGTGTCCAGGGCGTCTTGCCCTGAAGCACACGCTGCACTTGAATGCTCTGAGCTGGGGCCCCTCCCAGGCCTTCCAGGGACCTGGCTGTGTTTCTGCAGGTTCTGGGCATGAGGCATGTGGGTCATTGCAGTGAGTGGGACATAGTGGGGCGCCCTGGATCCTTGCCTACCCAGTTTGCTGTTGACTTTGAAAGGGGCCCCATTTCCCGGCAGCCCAGGCTGAGGTCGTCATTCATGCTGATGGGGCTGCCCCTGAGCTCCTGCAGGTTATTCTTGAGCCTTGAAGACTCTCTCCAGCCTGGCTCTTCTGACTGCCTGGACCCTGTCATTCCTCTGGGTGGCTCCAGCTGCCACTCCCACCCCCACTTTCAGCTCTTGGCTCCCATCCCATCATTCGCTTGGGCTGTGTCCCGAGTTCTTGGGATTCTCTTGAAAACTTACGAGGGTCTGACGTTCATTCCTCTTCTTCCTGAAAGGCATCTGGGGAACAGCCATGTGTTTGGGGAAGGGGCTGATTTTAGCCCCAGGATGAGATGAGGGTTAATCATGTGACCCAGCTCTGCCAGTCAGAGCACTTCACCTGTTTCAGGGTTGGTTAGATACCCCAAAGGCCCTCTTCTGGGATGGTGTGCAGCTGGGAGAGATATGCCTTCTTTCCAGGAAGATTGCTGAGGGAATGGACAGGAGCCGTTTTGCTACCTTTGAGAGCCCAGCAACAGGAAAGAAAGCAGTGCAGGGGACAGGCCTCCTCAAGTGCTGATGGCACCTGTGAGCTCCTGGATGCAGCTATGCCTGAGGCCCTTGGACTTCTCAGTTACGTGAACCCATTTGTTTCCTAAGTTGGTATTCTCACAGCTAAAATAGACCCAAATGCTTTAACAATGACTTTGATCACTCAAAATCAAGAATCAATTCATGCCTAGGCCTAGTTCCTGGACCTCAGAGTCAGAAATCAGTACCCATTTTCCAACTTCCTAGAGAGAAGTAGACAAGTTCTACTTTATCTCAAATTAGAAATTCATCTCTTACAATGAACAGATGTGATTTTTTTTTTTTTTTTTTTTTTTGCCAAACGAACATATTCTTAGGATGCATGTGCAGCCTCTTCCTCTAAAGTCATCACGGGGCCTGTCTAAGCACATTTGTTGGAGGAGCACTCCAATGGTGTCCTGGGGGAAAGGGTGTCGTGGAAGCTGGGCTCTACAACTGCTTGAGCTCTAGTTAACATTCCAGTAAAATGTAACCCTTGATAGAAATAGTGCTGAGTGGCTGAAGTCTATTTTAAATAGTCACTAAGATTCAATAATAATGACAGCAGGGCCATCACTAGCTTATACTCTGCCTTTGTGGGAATTAGCAAAGGGCCAGCCATTCTGCAGTCCCTACTGTCAGAGAAACACTGTGGACAAATACACGACCTCCTGTTTATTTGGACGTGGCCTCTGCATGGATTTCCATCTGAGGATGTATGGTCATGTGGTGTCAATAAGCCACCCAGGCTGCAAAGAAGGTGGAGGTAGATACATGAGGCAGCCACAGCTAACAGGCCAGGGGCAGGGATGGTGGCTTTCCTGGGCCAAGTGATAGGAGAGCAGGGACCCCCTCCCCCTCCCCACACAGACAAGCCCAGGTTGGGCAGTGAGCCCCTCCCTTAGTCCTTTTCTTCTCCATGGGTGATGATGTGCACCAGGTTCTTATAGTCCAAGTTGCCAGTCACATCAGGGGGGAAGGCGGCAAACATCTGGTCAATCTGCAATGAACCAGCAAGAGGTGCAGAGGATGATGGGAGGGGAAGAAGGAAGGAGGGCTGTGTGCAGGGGCAGGCCTGATGGAGAGGCAGTGGGGGTGCGGGTATGGGATGGGGATGGTGAGGATTCGTGTCAGGGGGGTAGTAGACATAGAGATGTGTCACTAGACCCCCTCCAGGAAGACCTTGTCCCCCAGCTGCTGCAGAGCTGCAGGACTCAAGGTCACGCCCTTCCTGGGGCAGCCCATAGCCTCTGATCAGTGTGGGCCCAGCGTGGGACCTCTCGGAAGGGCTACTCTAGCCACCGGGAGTGTCAACCAGGTCACTCCTTGGGTCAGTATCTCCCTCCAGTCCTTCTCCTTCCTTGCCCTTCCTTCCCAGGTGCTGACCCCAAGGGTCACTCTGTAGGGATGTCCCCCCAGAACCCAACCTGAGACAATAAAACAGGGATCACACACTCAAGTGTGCAAAGGAGCTGGACAGGTTATGTAAGGGAGCAACGTGGGCCTGGTGGGGACTATGGCTAAATAGGGACACATGGGCCACCTACAAAAGTGGCAACTGCTCAGGGCCAGCTGCTTATGGCCACGTGGTTAAGGAGATCAGACTCTGAGGGAATCTGAGTCTAGAAATCTAGATTAAAAACAAAACACGCAGTTTCCACATTTAAAAAATATTGGCTAGTTATCTTAAAAAACCATACTGGCTACTAATAGCTAACATGTGATAACATTATCCTTACCACATGTCGGCACTTTACACACACTAACTTGTTTAATCCTCACAGTGTACTAAGGTATGTTCTATTACTGTCTTTACTTTACAGATGAGGATATTGGGGCACAGGGAGGTTAAGGAGCAGGTCCAAAGGGGAAGGCAGGCTCTTTTAACTGCTTAAGTTTTGGAGAGAAAAATCTAAGTAGAGTTTTTAGTAAAATGTGGAACTTGATGGAATCAGGCCTGAGTAGGGACTATTTTAAATAGACTCCTTATGGAACATTAATAATATTGATAAGACTGTTGCTGGTTCATATAGTACTTTTGGCAAAGTATTAGGTGTCCCTTCTTCCAGGCACCTTACTGCCACCTGCCAGAAAATTATATATTCTGATTTAAAAAAAAAAAATTATAAAGACACTTTACTGCCATCTGCTGGGAAACTGTTGCAACAAATACACACTCTGATATCCTATATAATAAAAGCCTAATATGCAAATCGATCGAATGGTTGAACTACCGGTGAAACGACCCGTCGCTATGACATGCACTGACCACCAGGGTGCAGATGCTCAATGCAGGAGCTGCCCCCAGCCTGCAGGCCCCAGGCCAGCCACCGGTCACTCAACCAGTTGCCCCACAGATCGGCCCTGGTCGTTGGCCAGGCCTAGGGACCCTACCTGTGCACGAATTTCATGCACCGGGCCTCTAGTATATTATAAGAACAGCTTCCAGGAGAACTGTGTAGTGCGGAGCCTACGTGGCAGTCCGTGGTACCTGCACGCCACCCTTCCTCCATTAGGAGATTGGTGCTGTACCCAGGGCTCCCTGCATTGTGGGGGAGGTAGACCTGGAGCCAGACCTGCATTTACCGTCAGTGTTGTCCTGTTAGGCAAGTGACTTTACTTCCCTGGGCCTCAGTTTTTCCATCTATAAAATGACAATAATACTAGTTATGACCTCGTGGGGTGATTGAGAGAATGGCATGGGATAAGGGCTCAGTAAACAATGGCAGGTTCTGTCTCAGTGTGGGTCAGGGGTGTTTTAGAAAAGAGGAAGATGGAGTCCCAGGAAGGGTGATGCCAGGAGCTGGGGTGCAGAGAGCGTCCAAAGGGCCCTCTTACCTCCTCGTTGGAAAATCTCTCCGCCTGTGTGGTCAGCATCTCCTTAATGCTGCAGAGAGAGAAAAGAAGGTGTTGGCTCAAGGTGTGTGTGGGGGAAGCAGGGAGCCCCCATGTCCTCCCCCATAGACCCCACTCACTAATCAGCCTTCAGCACCCCTTTGCCTTCGGGGTCAAACACTTTGAACGCGTTGAGGATGGTCTCTTCAGGGTCTGCCCCTGAAACAGAAAACAGGGTTGAAAGGTGCTGCGGGTGGCTTGGAACCTGTTGGACCCAAGGAGGCAGGACCTAAGCCCCCCACCTCCCTTGCCCAGGTTGGGGGGCCAGGGCAAAGGCTATTTTCTTTGGAGAAGAGACCCTGCCTTCCTCTGAGCACTGAGCCTTGATATTTTTTAAAGAGTGGGTTAAGAATCCAGTTATTTTTGAGCAAAACTCAAGATCAAAGGTGGATCTAGATTTGGAAAAACTGGGATTCAAATCCTGACTCCAGCACTTGTTAGCTGTGTGACTTTCTCTGAGCCTCAGTCCCCATCTGCAGACTGGGGAGCAGAATAGATCCCATGCCTGGATGCTGTTAAATGAGGTCATGCGTACAAAGTGTTTAGCATGAACTCTAGCTCAGTGGGTGCCTTGAAGCAACATTAGCTGCTGTCTTTGTTTTTGTTTTGTTTTTGTTTTTTTAGAGAAAGACAGAAACATCGATGAGAGAGAGACATTGATTGGCTGCTTCCCACATGCCCCCTATTGGAGATTGAGCCCGAAACCTAGGCATGTGCCCTGACCAGGAATCAAACTGGTGAACTCTTGGCTCATGGGTCGACGCTCAACCCCTGGACCATGCCGGCCGGGCTAGCTGCTGTTTTTATTCTTTCCCCCCAATGTTACTCTGCCTCTGTCTCCTGGAAATCCTTGTCTATTCTCCTAGTGCTTTAATTCATACCCAAAGATGAAGACACATAAAGACAGACAGACATACACACAGATGCGCACACACACAGATGCATACCAGCTTACCCTTAAGTTTCTCCCCAAACATCGTTAGGAACACCGTAAAGTTAATGGGACCTGGGGCTTCCTTGATCATGTCATCGATTTCCTCATTTTGCACGTTCACACGCCCTAGGAAAGGAAACACACACTCAGGGCCTCTCAGCCGGGACGGAAACAGCACGCAGCACACTGGCATTTGCCCTGTAATTTCACTTCAGGGAATCTAGTTTAAGAATAATCAGAGACAGAGCGGACCCGCCAGAGATTCACGTGAGAAGATGTTCCCGACAGTGTTATTTATAATAGCCAGGCCAAACTCTGATGTAGGAGGGGTTAGTTATATTTAAAATAGTGTCTTTGGAACCTGGAACATTTTATACAGATATTTTAATATTTTACTCCAATGGGAGAGGGCCATCTTATACATTGGCCCTTCTCAGCTGGAGGTGGGAGAGACAGATCAGAGTCCCTGGAGGGTACTTGTTCAAATTATGGCTGCTGTAACCCAGGAGCCTTGGAGATTCTGACATACCTCCTCATGCTAGTCCTTGCTGCAGGCCTATATAGGACCTTTGAGCAAATTAGAAAAAGATACCCCTTCTTAATTTATTTTTATTCTTTTTAATCCTCACTCGAGGATATGCTTATTGATTTTAGAGTGAGGGGGGAAGGAGAAAGAGAGAGAGAGAGGAAGAGAGAAACATTGCTGTGAGAGAGAAACATAGATTGGTTGTCTTTGGGTAACAAACCCGCAACCTTTCAGTATATGAGATGATGCTCCAACCAACTGAGCCACATTGGCCAGGCCAGGATAATTTATGTTTTAAATATAAAAATCCACAATGGCTACAAACATGAAGAGGAGTCTGTCGAACTGTGCAGTGCACAACCTGTATTGCTGTTCACAGTGACCCTGAGCTCTAGGGATCGGAGTGTGTATGTGTGTGTGGAGGGGGTGAGTGGTGGCAGGTGGGACATGTCCTATATAATAAAAGGGTAATATGCAAATCGACCAAACAGCCGAACAGAGGAATGACCATCCGGACGACCATCCCGGACCACGCTATGACACCCACTGGTACCAGGTCAGCCAAGGTGGGTGCGATGCGATTGGTTGGAGGCTCAGCCATCGCCCCATGATTGCCCCACAGAGGGAGGCCCATGCCACTGGCCAGTGGGGTAATCAATTGGGGAGCTCCATGATCGCCCCAGGGCATCGACCTGTGGGCTGTGGTGGGTGGACGGGGCCTCCCTCTTCCAGGGAAGCCTGAGTCCTGGGTGCCGGCTGCCGGAGGGCAGCCTGGGTCCTGGGTGCCAGAGGGAAGCCAGTGCTGGCAGCCAGGGGGAAGGAAGGCCTACTCTCGAATTTCATGCATCGGGCCTCTAGTATATTATGAAAAAGCTCCATGCACTTATGTTCACATTTGAGATATACATTTTAAAAAGCTGAATCCAAAATAGAATGATTCCAATGATTAATCTCCCCCTCCAATATACCTAGAAAAGACTTAGAGGCTGAAATGTTAACAGTGGAGTGTGGCCTAAAGGGTACTATTGTTTTCTCCTTTAAACTTCTCTAAATTTCCCAAGTGTCCTGTTGTGAGCTGGCACTGTATTCAAATCACACACACAAAAAGTAATAAAAAGAAAAGATATGAGGACACGCAACAGTTAAACTCTTCTTTCCTATCCTCTGAAATCTGTCTTAAAGGTCAATCATGGTTGAGCTGTTTCTTTGGAAAACGACAAGCTCTTCACCGTTTCGATGGTCCCACCTCCTGGCCCTCATGGGCGTGGGATGGACCGTCCTGCAGGCCGAGAGGGGCGACGTACCAAGAGCAGCAAAGGTGTCCCTCAGATCGTTCTTGTCGATGAAGCCATCCCTGTTCTGGTCCATGATGGTGAAGGCCTGTGGAAGGGAGGTGGTTGGCTGGTCAGCTCAGGAAAAATCGGGGGGCAGGAGCCCAAGAGGCTGGGCCAGGGGGTACGGGGAGTGGGATTCTGGGATTTTCAAGGAACACTGAATAAATCCAGAGTCAAAGATTTAAAACAATCTGGCAGTTCCTTAAAATGTTAGGTATAGAGTTAGGCATAGAGTATGATCCAGAAACTCATCTGGCAGGTTTCCAGTCGAGAGAATTAGAACCTCTGTCCACACAGAAACCTGAACATGAATGTCCACAGCAGCACGATTCATGATAGCCCCAAACCGGAAACAGCCCACATGTCCACCAGTGGATGGATGGATAAACAAAATGTGGTCTGTCTATACCAGGGGTGAGGACCATCCGGCCTGCGGGACATATAAGGCCCTCAAAATCATTTGTTCTGGCCCTGCCAAGGCACTAGGGGTGAGTTAATTAAATGTTTGACCAAATATAGCAGGCTATTTTTTAAGTTGATAATTTTATATGGCCTGTGAATGATGATATAAATATGCAAATGGCCCTTGGCAGAAAAAAAGATTCCCCACCCCTGATATACAATGGAATACCATTCAGCCATAAAAAAAGGAAGGAAATAATGGCAGGTACTACAATATAGGTGAGCCTGGAATCACGATGCCAAGTGGAAGAGGCCAGGCACAAAAGGCCACATATTGTGTGACTCAATTTCTATGAAATGTCCTGAGTAGGCAAATCCATAGAGACAGAAAATAGACCCGTGGTCACTAGGGGCTGGGCAAGAGGGAAACGTGGAGTGACTGCTGACAGGTATGAGCTTTCTTTTGAGGGCGATGAAAATGTTCTGAAATTAGATAGGGATAATGGTTGCAAAACTCCGCGTCTGTACTAAAGAGCCCCTGAACTGTACACTTACTTTTAATTTGCCAATTTGTGGTATTTGTATTTCTATAAAGCTGTTATTGAAAAAGAAAAGTTAAAAACCAGGGTCTCGTGTCTGCCCCCCGACTCGCCAGCCCACATTGTCTGTAAAAGACAGCCGGTAGTCTTTCTCAGCTAGCTGGCAGGGAGACTCCGAGAGCTGTGTAAATGCCCAGGGATTTTATAAATGATATGTCATCACTATTTTTTTTTTTTGAGTTCTTTGTGGCAGCTGGAACCCTGTCCCCTGTCCCCACCTCCAGCAGCTGATCTCCTCTCAGAGGTTGGGATAGGGTGAAGGAGAGGGGTGGTGGCTTTTTTCTTCCTGGAAGGTGACTATTTTAAGTTCAGATAGGACATTTCATCCCAGGAATTCCTCTTTCCCTGGTGGCCTGTGGGCACAACGTTCCTGTGACTGAAAGTTAGTGGGGACAAAAGGTGCAAGTGTGCACATCCCATTTGGACGCCCCGTGGTCTCCCCTTTGGTATAAAACACACTGGCCGCTTTAGCAAAGCTTAGCGTATTTTCCCCTGAAGGGCAGGGCCTGGGAGCGTGGGTGCCTCAGTGTGCGCCAATCACAACTGCTGGAAAAAGAATCAATTGTCTGTCCTTCTAAGCCAGTGGTTTCTCAGCCGTGGCTGCACATTAGAATCACCTGGGAATCTTTTTAAAATCCTGATTTCTGGGCCTCATCCTCCGGAAATTCTGTTTCTTTGTGATGGGGTGGGGCCACAACATTGGTAACAAAGAAACAGAATTTCTGGAGGGTGAGGCCCAGAAATCAGGATTTTAAAAAGATTCCCAGGTGATTCTAATGTGCAGCCAAGGTTGAGAACCACTGTTCTAAGCCTTCAGGGGGTGGCTTCGTTTTGCCTGATTGGTACATAGTTTACTTCGTTAAGCACAGTCCCGGAGAATGTGATAGGGTTTCAGACCTCGCTGGTACTCAACAATCGAGGACTGTAAAATTCGAAATGCAAGAGATACTGTTTTCCATCTCCCAGATTGGCAAAAATATTTTAGACTATTGGCCAATGTTGACAGAGATGTGAGAGAAAAAAGTACTTTTTCCTCTTGGGGTCAATGGGAGGAGGAATTAGCATCTCATTTCTGGAGGACAATTTGGACCAATGAAACATCAATGTGAGAGAAAAACTTCTAATTGGTTGCCTCCTTCATGCACCCTGATTGGGGAATGAACCCACAACCTTTTGGTATACGGTATGACTCTCTAACCAATTGAACCACTAGGCCAGGGCTGCTATGTATGTATGTATTTAATTCCTTTGACCTAGCAATTCTGCTTTTAGGATTTTATTCCAAGGAAATAACCAAAGATACAAGCAAAAATGTGTTACTTATGAAAAAATAAAACATTCTAAACACATGTAACATCCCACTGTAGGAAGTGGTTTAAATAAATGATAGAAAATGTTGATACTGAATTGCTCAAAGAAAACTACCAGACACTCATTGGCAGGTGCAGAAGACTATAACTTTGTTTAACAAATATATATAACAAACATGTCCAGAAGGCTGGACACCCAAATGTTAACTGATAATCTATCTCTGGGTTGTAGAATTATAGGTCATTTGTGCGTTCTGAAAATTTTCCTACATTTTCAACAACAACAACAACAAAAGCTTTACTGTGATGATTAGCAAAAGTTATTAAAAATCTGGGGTTGTTTGGAGGCTAAAGACATCTAAGCAAGAGGTTCCCATGGGGAACACGGAATGAGGGGAAGGTGCTCCCCAAAGGGTGGGACTCTGCCTCCAGGCTAATGATTCCATAGCTGCACCCACCTCCTTAAATTCCTGGATCTGGGTCTGTTCAAACATGGAGAACACGTTGGAATTGGCGCCCTCGGCTCTCTTCTTGGCTTTCTTGGGTGCCTAGAGTGGGGGGGAGAGGCATCGATTAAAAGAGTCAGAAATTAGAAAATTAGCTCAGGCCCTGTCTCTGGGTAAATCTCAGCTGCTCATCTGTAAAATGGGGGTATGGTGTCCACAATCCTCTCAAAACACTGATGCTGGAGGGATAAAATGACACAACATGACATTTCTCAAAGGCCCCCCTGGTTCTGGTGGATCATAAGAGATTGAGGCTCTTGCAGCAGGCTCCTTTTAAAAGCTTGTTCGGCTGGTGTGGTTCAGTGGTTGAGTGTCCACCTATGAACCAGGAGGTGGCGAATTGATTCCCAGTGAGAGCACATGCCTGGGTTGCAGGCTAGGTCCCCAGAGGGGGCGCGTGCAGGAGGCAGCTGATGGCTGATTCTCTCTCATCATGATATTTCTGTCTCTCCTTTCTTCTCCCTTCCTCTCTCTGAAATCAATAAAAACATATTTAAAAATATTTTAAAACTAGGAGTTTAGGTGTGTCTCTGGGGATGGAGCCATGCTTTCAGATCAGCCCCCGCAGGGCCCAGCCGCTTTTGTTCCAATGCATTTCACAAAAAGTTCAGTAATGCACAGAAGGAGAATTGATTGGGGGCGGGAGTCAGGCTCACGAAACCATGAGGAACGTCGAGATGAAATGACACTTTTTCAGGGTGTTAAAACCCAATCGCTCCCCCACCCACACACACCATTTCCCCCTGATCCAAATGGCAGTGAAATCTCTCTAAATGTTCCGGCCTTGCACCACACAGACAGTGCAAAGAAGACTTTAAATAGTCACAGCTTAAACACGGGTACATACATTATTTCATTCAATCCTCATAATTGCTCTGTCAAGTAGATGCTGTTATTACCGTCACCTTTTTACTGGGGAGGCAACTGAGGCTCAGGGAGGTTGGGTCACTTGCCCAAGGTCACAAAGCAAAAAGCAGAGCTGGAGTTGAACTTGGGCAGTCTGGCTCCAGGGTCTGTGCTCCTGACCTCTCTCCTCTGCTGGCCCTAATTTGGGGGCTTCCTGCTTCGGGAGGGGGACACCTAACCGAACTGCGCCTGGAGAAAGGTTTTAATTTTGCAAGTTCAAAAGGTGAAAACAAAAAGATCTTTTCCCCAGCTGCCCAAACAAGAGAAAAGAATTACAATTTGATCCTTAAAAGCGTTCAATCCCATTTTGCAAGCCCTGAGAGTTATTGATTCCTCCGGAGGTCAGCAGACAAGCCATAAAAAAGCCAACTCTCTTATTTTGTTTTTGCAAGTCCCCGGGAGCTGCTGTTATTTGTGGCTTATCAGGGCATTGATTGGGGATCCTCTATGCGGACACAGCCAGCAGCGCTTTCCCCATCGGAGCCTGGGGTCCTCAAAAGCCACTGCCCCTCCCCCCTCCTGCCCCCTCAGTCCTTTGTTTATAGGTGGTCCCCTTCTCGTCCACCCAGCATCACTCACCTCCGGGAGCCCTGGCTACTCACCATGGTGGAAAGGACTCAGCGCTGGTTCCCTAGAAGAATCCCACAGGCTGCCCACTCTCCTCGCCCAAACAATAAATACTTCCTCCCCATGTTTAAAAATAACCGCATGACCACTTTTGGCAGTTAATAGGTAAGGCCCCCCCCACCCCCACCCCATGCCGTTCTTCTGAAGTAAGGGCAGCTCATTCGACACCTTGTGACACTTGAGACCCAAAAAGGCATTCAAGGTTAAAGAGGCAGGCGGCTGGGTCACGGGAGAGATGCTTTCCGCAGCGCTTGGGCGGGCGACACTTGTGCTTGTCAGTTTTGAGATGGAAAATGGCAGGGAGAGGGGATGAGAAGTCTCACATGGTCAGGCACAGGTCCCATCTCAGGGCCTTTGCACCTGCAGGTCCCTCTACCTGGAATGCTTTTCCATCCGACATCTGCCAGGCTCCCTTCCTCTCCTCCTTCAGATCTTTGCTCAATGTCACTCTCTCAGTGAAACTCCCCCACCGCCTGATTGAAGCAGCCATTCACGCCCGGAACTCCATTCTCTGTTTTTCTCCACAGCCTTTCTCACCCCTTAATGCACTATGCACCACAGCGTGAGCGGAATTCACTTATTTCTGTTGTTCAGTGTCAGCAGACAGCTCCGGAGGGCAGGGTCCTCACCATGCTCTCCCTGGCTCCCCGCTCACGGCCGGCACAAAGCAACTGCTCAACAAATACTTGTCGGTTACTTAATAACTCACTTACCGAGCACTCACTATGGGCCAGGCAGGTTCTCGGTAAATGGCAGTCATCACTCACTTTCCTTCTCGGTGGAAAAAAAAAAAATTCATTTTGGAGGCACAAACCCAAGAACCATTTATTGCCTGGACAAAAAGAGATTTTTTTCCCTTTCTCTAGTTATACATGGGTTAGAATTACCCCAAAGCATCTTCTAACAGAATCTTTAATAACAAAATACGTGTTTTGTTGTGTATTCATAGGCGTGTACACAGACACTCAAGTGGCACCTGCACTGCACATGCACAAGCACAGCAGTGTATTATTTCATTATTTTTAAAGCCCAACTATTGGTTTACTACATAAAACGAAAGCTGAAGCAAGCAAAACTTAGGGAAACACAAGCGAAACCCAAAAATGACTTCCTGGACTTCAAGACCTGATTTGTGACCTGAAACAATGAAGGAGGTGAATTTCCAAAAAGGATGTTGCAGTCCCCACAGTGGCTGGGAAAAGGATGTGCAGGGAACACCTCTGAGTAAAACCACCAAGAGACGCAAATCATAGGCCAGAAGGAGAGGCCGAAAGCGAGCCAGCACGGCTGATCCTCAACCAACGCCAGGGTTAGGGGTGCTTGCCCCCCAGGAAATCCGTGCATAACTTCTGACTCCAGAAGGCCCTTCGCATAGGCCAGTGGTTCTCAACCTTGGCTGCACATTAGAATCATCTGGGAATCTTTTTAAAATCCTGGTGTCTGGGACTCCTCCTCCGGAAATTCTGTTTCTTTGTGATGGGGTGGGGCCACAATATTAGCAACAAAGAAACAGAATTTCCGGAGGAGAATCCAGGCACCAGGATTTTAAAAAGATTCCCAGGTGATTCTAATGTGCAGCCAAGGGTGAGAACCACTGGCTTAGGCAGATGCGCAGATTCGCCAAACTGCGCCTGGAAGCGACGCACATACCCAGACGGCGTGGTGGACACGCGGTGGCGAATCTGCGGTTGCGCGCGTGAAAATGCTGTTGTAGACCCTCGGCTGGTTGAATCCCCGGATGCGAAACCCGCGGAGGATACGAAGGGCCAACTGCATGTTTGGGGGAAACCAAACCAAACCAAGCCCGCCTGTAAGTGGACCCCTGCCATTCAAACCCGCGTGGGTCAAGGGTCAGCTGTTACAGTTCCTCCAGCCGAGGAGAGGCGGACTCCGCGGGACTCCGACGCCGGGAGGGTGAGCAGGGAACGCACACACCACAGTGTATGTCCCGGTGAAAGTCACGGAGCTCCCGGGGCTCAGAGACAGAGAACTTAGCCCCGGCGGAAGCACTCTGGCCGGCATCAGGCTTTCCGGCGGCCACGCTGGGGGCGAGCAGAGACAGGGCGCTGCGGCCCACTGCCCCCCAAGCCCCTCGAGGTGCCTGTCATCCGCCCGGTTGAGGACGAGGCACGCTTCCTTCCGGTTCTCCTCCGAACGGCCCAGTGTGGCTGCCCAGAGTTCGGGAGTCGGGTAACCGAGGTGCGAATCCAGGCCGGTTGCGTGAGCTTCCCCTGCAGGTTTGTTCTGTCTGCGTCGCAGTTTCCGCATCTGTAACACGGGGATGAGCATGGCACGCACCTCACACGGGTGTCAGGAGGATGGAATGGGATGAACGCGTGATAAATGTCAGCCACTGTGACTGCTTTGGGTGCTTGACTGTCAGACCTGGGTGCACCCCCCCACGCGGGACCAGGAAGTTCCTCACCTTTTCTCAGGCCTGGAAAATGGGGCCTAACCAGGTGGAGGGGAATCCTTGGCCGGGAACTGTCCTCTTTCCACCGACTCTTTGGAGCCTGGGGTGGAGCGCCGCAGGGTCGGAACCTGCATGTGGAATGGGATCCAGCGCCTTTGCCCCGAGTCCCCTGACAGGTAAGGGACGTTTGCATTCCTGTAAAGCCTTTGATTCCCGCTTTGCAGATCACTGCTCCTGATGTTTTCCTAAAGTAAACATTAACCTTTTCAATCTCAAAATGGTATGTGGATGAACTGGCAAAATGAATCTCTGCTGTGAGTACCTACCTACTGCATATAGAATGCCAGTTAAATCGGAATTGGAGAAAAACAAGAAGTAATTGGGGGCCATCTGGGGCACTGGGAATGTATCTTGACCCAGGGGCTGTGTGCACAGATGTGTTATGTTTGGGGAGATTCACCAGCCCTACACCGAGGACCCGTGTCCTCTTCAGTTCCCCGAATTCAAGTCGAAGTCGTTATATCCTGCCTGGTCGGGTGAAAAGGAACCCCTTCTCGGTGTGGTTGTTTAGTACCGTTCTTCCGCAGACCAAGTGAACTCCTAAAGTTAATTTAGTAACATTCTCATTTAGGAAAATGCCTGGCCCAGCAAAGTGCCATAGAAGTGCTTATTTGGATATCATTGCCAGTAACTGGTTTAGCAGGTCAACTTGCCTTGGGGTGTAATGCCCCTTTAAGGGCGGAGGTGAAGTCAGCCGTCTCCTATGGAACAAAGGCATACCAGGCCCTGCCAGCCCAAAGCAGGGTGGCTGATAGACTCTGTCATCAAGTGATAGCGCCTATCTCCCTATGTCAGGGCCCCCAGGCGTGAGCGAGAGCTGCCAGTTAGAGGACTGGGCCTTGTACCCAGGGTAAATGGGTCAGCCACACTGATGGGCCACCCACTGTGTGCCGAGTGCAACTTGGGCAAGCACCATGAGCAGACCACACCTCAGTTTCCTCATCTATCAAATGGGGACAGTAGCGGGCCTCCAAGCATCCTCATGGTGTTCGAATGAGTTAACTAATACGTGTGAAGTACTAGGGCACTGGGCACACAGTGAGTGTCCAGTAAATGTCAGCTCTTAATCCAGAGTGCTGGCTGTCACCTGTGTTGAGAGAGAGGGGGTAAAAGAGACAACATGGTCAAGTATGAATTCATTTCCTCTCCTCTTCCTCTCCCTAACCCCTTTCCTATTAATAACTTTATTTCTCTCTTAGGCACCCAGACCCAAATCTTCAGCCACCTTGATTCTGTCCCTTTGGTGACAAAGTCTATCTGTTCTGCCTCTAAAATGTCTTATGAATACATTCTCTCCCCCTGTCCTGCCCAGATCTGGCTTATGGTAGTGGCTCTTGATTGGTCTGGTGCCTCTGCTCCCTTGCCTCCAATATACTCTAAATATTTTCCCCCAAGAACAATGATGATGACCCACATATGTTCCAGAACACTCAATGGTTCCCCACTACCTAACAGAACCTTGCCTCTTAGGCTTGACAGTTAAGATCTTTTGCCACTTGACCTTGACCTACCAGAATGGTGCAATGTTTGAAAGCTGGGTTCCAGGTCAGTGCCTCTTGGCTGTGGGGCCCTGGACAGTGACTTAACCTGAGATTTCTTACTTGATAAATGGGGGAAACAATAGTGTTGATCTTACGAGATTGTGTTTATTATCATTTTTAAAATTTGTCTTTATTGTTGAAAGTATTATAGATGTCTTCATTTCCCCCCCCATTGATCCCCTCTACCCTGCTCCCACGCCCTCCCCAGGCCTTCTCTGCACTATTGTCTGTGCCCATGGGTTATGCATATATGCACATAAGTTCTTTGGTTAATCTCTTCCCACTGCCACTCCCTCCCCTCTGAAATAAGCTAGTCTGTTGCATGTTTCAGTGTCTCTGGATCTATTTTGTTCATTAGTTTATTTTGTTCATTAGATTCCACATATAAGTGAGATCATGTGATACTTGTCTTTCTCAGACTGGCTTATTTCATTTAGCATAATACTCTCCACGTCCTTCCATGCTGTCTCAATGGGTAAGAGATCCTTCTTTTTTACTGCTGCAGTGTATTCCATTGTGTAAATGTACCACGTTTTTGTTGTTGTTTTTATCCATTCATCCATCTACTGATGGCCACTTGGGCTGTTTCCAGATCTTGGCTATTGTAAATAATGCTGCTGTGAACATATCCTTTATAGTAAACCTAGGTAATTGTGATACTCATGGTAGCAGCTAACATTTATTGTGCGCTTACTCTGCCAAGCACTGTTCCAAGTGCCCTCCATGTTACCACTCATGCAATATGTGTAAATGGCCTTGTTCAGCACCAGGCAGAGAGTACTTGCACCATGAGTTCGTGTGTGTGTGTGTGTGTGTGTGTGTGTGTCCGTGCGTGTGCGCGCGCACGGTTATTAACAGTTACCTTTCCAGCCTCATTTCCTACTCCAGCCCCACCTCACCCTCCAGGTCCCTCGTGAAGAGTTTTTGGGAAGATGCTTTGTGGCACTTGTTGGCTGCATTTCATTTGTGGAGTTGTTCTTGCCTTCAGTGATAACTTCCTGGTGGAGGAAGGATGCACGCTAACTGGCCGAGTCTTGGAAAGGATATTAAGGCTGTGCTAGATCCTTGAGGGTAG